CCCTGGGGCTGACTGCTCTTCTGTCCGGGTTCAAGGCTTTTATCTCATTTCCCCTGCTCTTCCAGCCTGCTACTCTGGCTGGGCCTGAGTTTCCCCTCCTCACCTAATCCCTTCGGCTGATTGCTCTTCTCTCTAGCTTCCTGGATTTTATCCCCTTTCTCCTGCTCTTCCGGCCTGCTACTCTGGGCATCCCTGAGTTGTCTCTCCTCACCTGTAAACCTGGGGCGAGATACCACCTCACATCCGTCAGAATGGCAATGGTTTAAAGAAAAAAAAAAGGTGTTGACAAGGTTGTGTAGAAACCAGAACCCCTTATCCATCGCTGGTAGAAATGTAAAATTTTAAGCAACATGGAAAACAGTTTGTTGGTTACTCAAAAAGTTGAACACAGAACTACCATACAACCCAGAAATCCCAATCCTGGGAATATACCCAGATGAAGTGAAAACAGGAACACAAACAGAAACCTGTACACCAACATTCACTGTAGCACTTTTCACAATAGCTAAAAGGTGAAATAAAACAAAATGTGCATTAATATAAGAATGGATAAACAAAATGTGATATATACACACAATGGAATATTAATTAGCCAGAGGTGTAAGGGAGAGGGAAAAGGGAATTTTGCTTAGAGAACACTGAGTGTGTGTTAATGGTGGTAGAATAATTTGGAAAAGGATGGTTATAGTGGTTGTACAACACAAAGAATGTAATTCAATGTCACTGAAACATATGTACCATTTGCTGAATTGGCAAATGTTTTGCTGTATATATTTTCACCACAATAAAACAAATTAATAATATTATTATGCATTTGTTGATACAGAACATATTCAAAATGTGCTGTTAAGTGAAAAAAGACTACAAAGCAGTATAGGTGAAGTATGATCCACTTTGGTTTTCTTATACACACACACACACACACACACACACAATTGTGAATGTTTTCTGGTCTCTCTTCACTTTGGGCTTTAGCCTAAAGTTGGTTTTTGCTTTTTAGTATTTTTCAGATTTTTCTACCATTAACTTCATTGTTTTTGCAGAAAAAGGACTACTAAATTAAAATAAGAACAGAGTTCTGGTGGTTTCTTTACATCCCTATTAAACCAATCCTGTTTTTGTCTGACTAAAAATACTACCCACTTACCTGTCTCAGCAGCTCCAGCTTCTTCAGTTCCTCATTGTAGGCTTCCGGGTTCTCTCCATAATTCTTCAGGACAAACTAAAGAGAGAGAGAATGTTGTAAATCAGTGAGAGATAAGATCCCTCCCTTCCTGCCCTGAGTCCTTGGCAGCCATCGAGGGCTAGGACTGAGTACAGACCACAACCACAAGCCCATTTCCTGGACCACCAGGGAACTCTGCCTCAGTAACTGGGCAATGGTAGTAAGATGCTAAAAACCAAAGCCACTTTGAGCAAAAGGAAAAAGAAGACTGCGTGAGTCTGGGTAAACACCCAGGCCAGTCCTCATAATGCTGGAGCCCATTCTACAAAACCCAGGATTCTGCTAACCCAGGAAGCCAGGGAACTTAGCTATCAGAAATAGAGCCTAAGAAAGATCCTAAAAAGTGTCACAAATTCAAATCTCCCTTGAAGAGCAGGACCTGAGTATACAATACATATAATACAATAGTATACAATACATATAACCTGCTGTGTCCTGGAGTCACAACCATAGCCCTAACCCTATAGCAAACACAGACAAAAGGCCCCAAACAAGAGTGGGACTGCAAAGTCTTCCCCACAGATCCATTCGTCCGGATAAGACAGGGCACTATGGAAATCGGGGATCTGCAGTGTCCTCATATGTGAGGAGAGGTCTACAGTGTGTGATGGAAACGACCAGATGGGAAAAGGTGAGAGGAAGGGGAGGCCAATGTCCATGTCAGGGAGTTGGCCTACCTACCAACAACAGCACTCACCACCTCAAGAGTGGACTGCCTTTGACACTGTGCACATTCACCAGCTTGAAGCACAGGCCTGGGCCAAACGTTCAACTAAAAGTCAACAGACCATGCTGAAAAGAACTAGCCCTGGAACAGCTAGTCCTTGCTTAGCAATCTAGGGGGCCAGAACCATTAATTCCACAAAAACTAAGGGTATCTACACCTTAAAGTTTGTGATGTGGAGAGGAAAGAAGACCAATAAAGGCTGAGAAGAGGTGCCCTGCTCTGTTCATTACCTCCATCTCTATGGTCCACCCACTTTTCCTGGGTGCCTTTTGCAGAACCTATGACACAAGGCTAAGGATCCAGCAATGTGGGGATCTGGAAGGCTGGGTGATAGCTTCCATCTGCCCTAGTGAGGAAGGGGAGAGAAGAGAGAGAAGGAAGTCTTCTTTGGGCTATTTGCTGTACCATTCAGTCACTTTCCCAAACCTGAGACCCTGACCCCTCTTCCCTTGTTGGTTTTACCTCCCATAAGTTTCTGTGTCCCTGCCACCTCTGTCCTGGACAATCTATCCCTTCACATCTATCCCTTATCTTGTGGCCTGGATTGTCTAACACAATGCTGATGTCACTCCTAGTTTTAAATCTTTATGAAACACACACAAACACCCCTGGGGGAAAAATACACCAAAATACTTAGTTCACGGTGATGAGATTACGGGAGAGAAGTTGCTGTAATCTAAAGAGAAAAACTGTAATCTAAAAAGAATGTGCTACAGTGACCCTCCAAAACCTCCAGGAACAAATTTAAGCTCCTCAGCACAGAGTTCATCGCCCTTAACAACATGCTCCCAACAGCCTTTACCACAGTGCAACAGCTCCCCTCCCTCTTCTTCCCTATAGTTACCTCTTCCCTGTGTCCTTCCCTCCATGCACTCCTGCCCCCTGAGCTGTCTCCATGTGCATACACAGCCTTTCTATTCTCCCATGATTGTGGTAGACAAAGTGTATGTGAGTTGATGTATGGAAAGTGAATTTGCTGACTAAAATCAAAGATTGGAAAAAGGTATATCAAGCAAATGGCAAATGTAAGAGAGCAGGAGTGGCAATATTAATTTCTGATCAAATTGACTTTAAGACAAAAACCACCATACAGACAAGGAAGGACATTATATAATGATTAAAGAATCTATTGGACCTTTATATATAACCATAATAAATATCTATGGACCCAATGAAAGAGCCTCAAAATACATAAACCAAACTTTAAAGAGTTGAAAAGCCAAATAGATGACTCCACAGTCCTAGTGGGAGACTTTAATATGCCATTTTCATTGAAAGATAGAACTGGAAAAAAACTCAACAAAGATGCAGAAGAGCTAAACAATAAAATCCACCAACTTGGCCTTATAGACATCTACAGAGCACTTCACCCAACAGCAACACAATATATATTCTTTTCCAGTGCACATGAAACATTTTCCATGATAGACCATATGTTAGGCCATAAAGCAATCCTTCATAAATTTAAAAACACTGTAATAGTGCAAAGCATCTTCTCAGATCATAATGCTATCAAATTAGAAATCAA